GAGCTTAAGCTTAACGGGGGGAGTCCTGCCTGTAAGGGGTGGGGGCGGGAATAAATGTTCCAAAAGAAAGAGCGGGCCAAAGCCACGACGTGGGGTGTCTGACGGAGCTAAACTCTTTTACCCTCAGCGGTGAAATGTTAAAACACTCACCTGACGAGCCCTTGGCACAGTTTCATGGATAAACGGGCTAGTTCTCCCTCCACCTGTGTCCTTGATTGGGGTCCTACCGGTTTCCTCGATCACACGCTGGTGGGTCCAACCTGGTTTTAATGGGGTTTCTTCTGCAAGGTTCCTCAGCTCTCCGCGGGGCCCGCGTGGCAGGCCCCCTGGGAGCGGGACGAGGCGGGGCTCACGGCCTCCTCCGCGGGCTCCGCCCCAGCCCAGCCGCGCTCCTGTTTCTCTGCTGGGGGCCGACGGGGCGGGCGCCTGGAGAAAGGCGGTCCCGCCTCGCCATCGCAAGACTAACGGTGCCAACCGCCCCTCACGATCCCCGACTCCTAATAGGCCCCTCCCCGCAACGGTCTCGGTGGCCGCGAGCTCCCTCCCCGCGCCCTCCCCCAGCTCCTCCAAACCGACCTCGCCCTCGGCCTTCCGACCTCCCCCTTCTCCAGACCCCAAGGCTCTTTCTCACCCTCTGAGCCTCTCAGGCCCAGGCAGTTGCCCTCACTGGGGTCGATCTTAAACACTTTAGAATCACAGCTTGGAAGTGGGAGACGAGATGGAAAAAAGGGACAGTTATTTTTAAAATATGCCTCAAGACAGGCCTCATTCTCTCTGGGAGATGAGGTGGGGGGAAGAAACGGTTAGGGTGATTCTGGGCCCTGGCTTCACAGCCCCAGGATGAGAGCTTGATCTTTTAAACTAGAAAGATCTGGAAGGATCGAGGGCCGAGGGAACCCAGGTTAGTAATCATCTTGGGTGGAGATTTTTAAAAAATTAAAAAGAATTTTTCATTACAATTGACAGACGATATTAGTTTCGGGTGTACAGCATAGTGATTAGACATTTATATGCCATAGGAAGCGATCGCCCCGTTAAGTCTAGTACCCACCTGACACCGTAAATAGTTATTACAATATTATTGACTATATTCCCTATGCTGTGCTTTATATCCTTTTCATTACTGGCAAATTGTACTTCTTAATCTCGTTACCTTTTACGCTTGGGTGGGGATTTTTGTTGTCATTTTGCAGGGTGATGTCTAGGAAGGAGATGTCTAGGAAGGAGATGTCCCCTGAGTACCAACAGTCCTTTATTTATTTAATAATCCTTCTGTGCCAAGAGCCCTTTCATTGGAACCTGCTGGAAGAATTTCACCAGCCAATGAGATAAAGCTCATGGGTTCTCTTCTCCTTCCCTCACATCATCACTTCTTCAGAGAGGGGTCAAGGGCGGCGTTCTGCAGAAGCTCGTCCCTGGCACAGCCGTTATCTATCTTCAGAACCCTCTTCCTAATTCTTTGGGTCCTGCCTTTTTGGGAATGGGGAACTGGAAAATGTCCATTCGGAAATTTAAGATGGGAATAAAGCATCATAGAAGTGCCTGCCCTCTCCACCCCAAACCCTGAGTAGGATGAATTGGATCAAGAATGCCCCCGAGTGCCATCCTCCCCAGCGGAGCCCGTTTGCTTCTTTTTATTCCCACGTGTCCCGGTTCCCTCTCCCGTTCGGGGGAGAAAGAATTAGGTTGCTATTCTTCAAGAAACAGTAGTTCTTTCTGCAGAGGTTTGGCATCAAGGTTAGATCTTGATGTGAGCCCATCTCTTACAGGTGCACAGTCTATAATCTCTCAGTGGCTCTGCTCTGGTCTCCAGTATTCTTGAGGGCCAGGATAGCGTGCAAGATTTTTTTTCAGTATCCAAAATAAAAGTTATTAGTTAAAGAATAATACTGAGAAATTGCTGCAACATGCTTTAATTAGTTTATAGATTATTATAGTGTGTTTGCTAAATAACTTGCAATGTAGTCTGTTGCCTAGGGAACAGGGCTAGAAATGACAGCTCAGAATTGGGAAGAGTGAATACAAATTGGCAAAGAGCCTTCAACGCATTTTATTCCTGCCCCTCCAGCCACCGCCCCACATTCTTTCTTCCGGTTTAGAAGTGTCTTAACAGCTCAAGAAAGCACGTCATGTTTGTCGAATGAATGGGTGGATGTTACCACTCAAGGTTTATAATCTCCTTCTTCCTTTCCACCCACCCGTGTCTGAACGGTCTCTCACAGAACTTTACATGGCAGCTTCTCCACCAGCACTTAGCTTTAGCATAATGTCTTGCACATAGTAGGTGTTCAAGAAGAGTGTATTGAAATAACTGAATTGAATTGGATACCCAGCAGAATAAATACACTGCACTAAACTTCTTCATATTCAGAACGAAGTAGATGCGATGCCGTGTTCCATTATTGCTCAGCCCTCGGCAAGGATCTGAAGACGAATAGAAACATCCTCATCTATTCTGTGCAAGGAGTCTACTGTAGCATCTGTAGCAAGTGTAAATTTTCATCTTAAAAATCAATGCCCTTGGCCTGGAGAAAATAAATTAGATTGATTTTTTTTTTTTTAAAACAACAAAGACAAAGGCTTTATTATCTCAAAAGGAGCTTGTTATCTGTGTTATTTAAGAAAAACATAATTGAAAATACAACTTCATCCTGGATATACTAGAGTGATTTGACACTAGACATTTTAAAAAAGGTACAAGCCATTTTTTATCTTCGTTATTAGAAATATCTCTGCTGCCAGTGTTTCTCAAGGAGACTATTTGCAGAGATATCACTGGGTTGCCATTCAAAAGGCGGTGAAGAAGATTTCTGGAAAGATCTAAACCCCGACTAGCAAGAACATCTCTGAAGGACACATTTCCCTATTATCCTTTGTTCAGTTTTCTCACTGAATGGGTTGATCACCAGATAATCTTTAACATTCCTTCTAATCCTACTTTCCCACAATTCTTTGCTTTTTGCCAATTGAAGGGAAGGAAATACCAAATTGTGAATCCATGTTAGTTTTTTGTTCTTAAAGGCGATTACGTAAGGAAAGCTCGTGCCTCCGCTGGCTCTCCCAAGATAGTTGTGTTTATAAGCAGATATTTGTACTTCAAATAGAAACTGAAAATGGCAGGAGAGCAAAGTCTGGCCTCTGTCAACCAGGCACTGCTTCGAATGAGTTGCAGACTATTTTAAAAATACAGAAATCCTGTTTTTTTTTTTCTTGAATCAGTTTTATTGAGGTATAGTTTACATTCAATAAAACGCACCCATTTTAAGTTACAGTTGACCAGTTTTAACAAATGTTTGCCCCCCCTAGAACCTACCACCCCCATCAAAACACAGAAAATTTCCATCACCTAGAAAATTCCCTCATGTCCTTTTGTAGTCGGTCCTTCTCAGCCTGGGTCTTCAGTGTAGATGCATCTTCCCTTAGCACTCCAATTTCTGACCTTCCTAAGGATACAGAGGTGACCAAAGGCTAAGTCTCCACACTCAAGGGGGCTCACACGCGAGAGCTGGAGGGTAAGCACTCCTTTAGCTGGCATGAGCCCCAGTGTAAGTGACTCGGCCTCTGTTACTGGATGACAAGACGAGACTCCACCTTTGGAGAATGCCCCACATGGGGACATCCTACTTCCCTTAGTGTCCCCAGCCCCTTCCAGCAGCCATTCTTGGTCGTTTCTCCTGCCTCTAACCCTTCCCCTGGAACAGATGGTTCTCCAACAGGACGGGGAAGTTTCTGCTGCGTCTCTAGCAGCTGGTAACACCAGAGATGTCTTCCGTTCCACTTTTTTTTTTCCTGGCAGCAGCATGAAGAGCCAAGCCTGGAGCCCACGAGAACTATTTATTTTTCTGAAGAATTGTAATATATACTCAGTGGGAAAAATAATGGTAGAATAGATGGCAAAGTTACATACAAAACTGGCTAATGTCCTATGAGGCAATAAAATCATAACCTTTGAGGATATCTTTTCTATTGGACAGAGTTTATTTATATCATTTGCAACTTATCAATTTTCTACAAATGAACATTTATTCTTACAGAGTCTAGGTCCCAATTAGTAGTTAAGTCAACCAAAATTTTTATATTTCTCTAGAGCACTAACCGACCCTTTATCAGTAGGTGACAATCCTCTGGGAGACTCTGAAAAGACATTCGGTCTGTCATTTTGCCTAACTTTCACGTTTTGGATCATTTTTCTCAACATGATTGATCATACTCCTGCAAAATAATAACCAAGCCTGATTAGATTAAAGGGACAAGTGTCTCTTCCATGGCCTGTCAAGTTGTTGCAGCTGATGACACCACTGCCATATAAATTCTGTCTCCAGATTTCTTCTCAGTAACCTGGGGAGTGGGGAGTCTCCGTATGATCTGATGATGAGTTATTTCTTGCAGTTCCCTTTTCTGTGTTGTCCCATGACAAAAAATAATATAATTTTATTCAAGGGAAAACGATTCGTGGATTGAGGGAGGACAGTGTCTCACAAGCAGTAGAGTGCTCCCCGAAAGTTTGGAGCAAGAGGGAGTTTATAGTGTGTTAGAAGAGGCAACATGCAAACAGGGCTAGGAGGAATTAGCCAGGAGGTTGGGGATTCCCTTATAAGGTGAGCAGGTCCTATTTCCTATGGTTCAGTGAGCTAGCCAGAGCTGAGCTGGTCAGTTGTGATGCATGTGTGTTAGGTTTCCTTGATAGTAAAGTGTTTCCCGATGGTGCAGACTGACTTAGGTTTAGCTTTGTGACATGGGCCTGCTTCTGGGGCTGCTTCCTTTTTGTAGGTCCTGATGTTCAAATTACCTTTATCAGTGTCTTTAAGAAAAAGAAAGAAGCGTTGCTCACGGATGTTTAGCTTTCCTGAAAGTTGGAGCTCTCAGAGTCAAAAGACGGATTCATTCTTTTTTTGGCAACTTTAAATTGAGCTTTTGGGCCTGTTAGTGACTTTACTTATCGAAAAACATCTAAGCAAAAAGGAAACAGGCCTGATCTTGAGCTGCAGTAACCCCTCCAGGAAGGCCTGGGAGGACACCGCCCTAAAGCACTGGAGGGTTCGTGCCATCGGGGGCACCAAAATACAGCAGCCACTACAGAGTTCTAGAAACATGCCTCGGAGTGACAAGTTCTGTGGTGGAAGGGGTCCCAGACCAGACGTGACGCTGAAGTCGGCCCAGTAGGCCACTTTCTTGCTGTGGGGCCCTAGGCAAATCGCACATTCTTTGAATTTCATTATTCAAAAAAAGGGAGAGGAGGAAGATAATCTGGCTGTACTACTCTCACGGGGTGGTTATAAGAACCAAGTTAGAGTTTATCGAGTTGGTAAGTGCCAGGCACAGTGCTGCGGGTGAGATAAACTGAAATACAGTTTGTGAAAGTGTTTTGCAACTCAAAAGAGAAGGTGTAATTAGTTGACAATCCCTGAGATCAAAGGCCTGTGACATTTAGCCTGCATCTGCCCCTAGGTGGCTGCAGCTACCAGGGGTGCGGGTGGGGTGGGGGCGGGAGCCTTGGCAGGGGGTTGGAGGGTGGTCTGGAGGTGGAAGGTGAGGAAAGAGACTTAACCCAGAAATATCAATCGAGTATTCTCGCGGGTGCTCAGCCTGCAAGCCAGCTCAGGCAGGGCCCTGGTGCGGGCAGCCAAGCAATTAATGACTTGCGAAGAGAAAGGGCCGGAGAATGGCAGCGAGCCAGCCCAGGGCCCAAAGTAGCCACTGAGTCCAAGTCAGACGCCCAGCGGTCTCTTCACTCGCTCCCACAGGGCTGCGGACTTGGATTGTGGCTAAAAATATTGTTTCCCCCTCGTATTACACGGCGACCGCAAAGCGATTTTCTGAGTAGCCCTTCAGGCTTCTCTCCCGGAACTCCAAGGAGCGGCTCGGCTCCCCCCAGCCCCAGTCCCTAGGCCAAGGTCTGAGCAGATCGTAGGGCGCCAGGCCTGATGCCTGAAGGGTCAGATCTGACGGTCCTGGGCAACGTGAGGAACCAGCGAAGGGGCTTGAGGTCGCGTCACCAGCTGGCGCCTGGACCCATCTTTCCTGATGGAGCGAGCTCATCGCCTCCTCTCCCAGCCCCCGCCCCGAGGACATCTTGGCCTGGGAATTCCAACGTTTGAGGAGCCGAGGGAGGAAGGGAGTGGAGAGTCCCTGGAGGGGGCGTGGGCGAGGCCTCCCGCAGGGTTTGAACGGCTCTTCTGCGGCCACGCCTTCCAGTCTTTTCCAGCCTTTAGCTTCTGAGGTGCTAACCTGGGGTTTCTGACCCAGAGGGGTTTGAAATCTGGCCAAACCAGTCACATCGCTG